GAGACAAAGAAAGGAATTTTATATTTTAGGCTTGTCAGCAATGTACCTGACTTCTGGAATTGGCCAAGATGAAACTCTGAGACCCATGTATGAGTCACAGGCATGGATCAAAGCAGTGAGAGAAGATCCTGGCTTGAGACATTAAGTCACTCCTAGATAAGGAATTCATCAATATCCTAGTGAGAAAGGATGGAAAATAAATATCAGAACAACATTGTAATAAGACACATATACTTACATGTAAACTAAATGCTCGTAAAATGGTTCTAGGCGCTCTAAGCTATAGGTTCACCTTTCACCGATTTTTTTGCCCATAAAAATTGTTAAGATCAAGGAAGCTACTTAAATCATACAATGAAAAGAACATCCAGAAGTCAAAACAAAATGGATAAGGAATGCTTGCTCTATGTAACATGTCGTGTAAATAGCCCTTACATCTCTCCTCAAGCTATATCCAATTGCATATTTGGAAAAGCAATAATACTGCAGCATAAGAACAAAGAATTCATGATCTCCTACTTGAATGCCAAAGGTCTGACTCCATTCCTTTCATTCGTTCAACTGCAAAAGTACTGAGTGCCTGCTTAGGGCTTCAAGGTGCTGGTTACACATCATTAAACAAAATTCCGTGCCCTCAGGGAACTTCCATTCTATTCATGACTTGATAAAGGCTTGAAGCAAGAAATTTTAATTCCAGGGAGTCTGAAATTATTTGTAAAACAGAAATATTGTGATAATAATTGGAGGCAGGAAAATCACATAATATAAGACTAGGAAAAATAACCAATAAAATATGAAATAAACTTTAGAATTTTCACTTCCTCATGATAGATGAGGAGGGTAAGCTGACTTTCCAACTGCGACATCTAGAAAAAATGGACAAAATTTTAAAAAAATTCTTCAAGATATCAGAGAGATAAACAAGGAAAAGGAGGGAGGGTATAGTTCAGTGGTAGAGTATGTACTTAGCATGCTTGAGGTCCTGGGTTCAATCCCCAGCACCTCCATCAAACAAACAAATTAAATAAATAAATAAATAAATAAATAAATAAATAAATAAATAAATAAAATGAAGGGTCTAGGGCTTGGGGAGAAAAGGGAAGCAGATGAAACAGGCTTAATATTTAGGGCCGCTGCCCTTCTAGGGATCTATGAATTCTGCAAGAGACAGATGAGAGGCAAAATCTGAGGGACACGTACGACACTGTTACACGGTTAGGGAAACAATGAAGGAGAGTCCTGGTTAATCATCATATTTTAGTTTGGGACTTTGAAAGGCTGCAACATAGGAGAAAAGATGAACTTGAAATAGACCTGGCTAATACCAATCCAATTCTTAAAATTAGTTTAGTGTGATCTGGGACAGCTAGTGAACCTAGCTACCAGTCAGATACAAACATAAACACTCTGCAAAAGAAAATAATGTCACCCTAGATCTAAATTGATTTCTATAAATTTTCATACACAGTGCTAGTTTTATAAATAGAACAAAAAGAGGCAGGTAAATATGCTCAAAAAGCAAAAGAAACAGCAAACAACAGAATTAGATGACCAACAAAGCAGAAGATAATAAAATAAAAACAGGTATATTACAGAAAATACCATCAGACGCAAAAGATTTTTAAAGTATAATAAAATTGACAAGCCTTTATCAAGATGGATTTAAAAACAGAGAAGGCAAAAGTTATTGATTGCAGGTATAAAAATGGGTATATTTCTATACCCTATAGTTATTAAAAACATCATAAGAAAATATTATGGACTACTTCATGCCATTAAATTTGAAAATTTAAAAGAAATTTTTTAATTTCTGGGAAAAGACAATTTACCGAAAATGATACAAGAAGTAAAAGTGCAAATACTCCCAAATCTATTAACACTGAATCTGTAAGATTTCTTTCACAGAGATTTTCCAGGACTCTAAGCTTCACCAATGAATTCTTACAACAGTTAAGGAAAAAAGAACACCAACCTTACACAAAATATTCCAAAGAATAGAAAAGGAGGTACTGATTTCCACCCTGTTTCTAGCAAGGTCTTTGCACATAGCGTTCTCTTTTCCTGGAACGTTTAACTACTCCCATATGGTTCAGCCTTAACTCTCAGCTCAATCATATGTCCTACCTTTGGGGTGACATCCTTTAGATTTCAATTTAATCATCTTTTGTATCCTTTTCAATTTAATCATCTTTTGTATCACTGAATGGTTACAGTAATTAATTAATAAGTTAATTTTTATTAATTTTAGACATTATTTCATTACTATGTATGTCATCCATTGAAGTCTTGATTCCATGTACGTGGGACAACATATGATATTACTCATGTGATATTCCAAGTTCTTAAAACCAGGCACATACAGGAGGTAATCATTGTTAACTGAAAGAATGAATGAATGAAGAAAATGTAAATTTTCTATTTATGAGAGTTTTTCTTTGCATGTAATCATATAACAAATGTGGAAGCATCTAAAATTAGTGCTTGTAATCAATCATATGACTCTCCTAAACTTCCTCTCTCCTCTCCCCTGCCTTCTCTTCCTTTTATTTTTATATAGTCTGGAGTCATGGAAAGAGCAAGGCTCTGAGTTACACCTACATGTGAAACTTAGTTGTAGCACCTATGCCTTCATTTGGTCATTCCTTTGGTCAGTGGTAAAAACAGGTAGTTCATTCCATATTCAGGATGACATAATCTTATTACAAGACCAGGAAAGTGCATGTAAAATAATCCTAAGATTCACTGTACATATTCTTACCTACATGCATGCAGATAATTGCTCAACACTGGAGATACCATGGAAAGTGAAAAAGCAACAATTCCTGGCCTCATAGGCCTCATACTCCAGTTAGGAAGACATACATTAAGCAGACACTTCAGAATAACCAATTATTATTTTTTATCATTTGCAGATGAAGACAATGAGAATGACGTAATAGAGCCAACGAACCATTTCCATGTAGGAAGATGCCTTATGGAGTTTCTTATTTACCTTCAGCACTCGGTCACTAGGGTATCTGAGGCCCAGACAGCTATTTGACAGAAGCTGACAATGGCAATTTGGGTTTGATAACTTCCTCTCTCATGTTTCAAGTCAGTGTTTTACTCTCATCTTAAAAATGCTGAGATTAATTGCTTTCCTTTTTATTTTAATTTTTTTAAATTGAAGTATAGTTTGTTTATAATGTTGTGTTAGTTTCTGGTGCACAGCAAAGTGATCCAGTTATACATACCTATTCTTTTTCATATTCTTTTCCATTATGGTTTATTACAGGATATTGAATATATTTCTCAGTGCTGTACAGTAGGATCTGGTTGTTTATCCATTTTATATATAGTAATTTGTATCTGCTAGTCCCTATCTCCTAATTTATCCCTCCCTCACTCTCTGTCCCCTTTGGTAACCATATGTTTGTTTTCTATGTCTGTGAGTCTGTTTCTCTTTCGTAAATAAGTTCGTTTGTGTCATATTTTAGATTCCACATATAAGTGACATTGTATGGTATTTGTCTTTCTCTTTCTGACTTAAAAGTTGTCTTCTTAATGTAACCATGTCTTGGAATTTCTCAGCCACCAGCGGATATTTGATCTTTTGGTTACAATAGTGACAGTTTTGTTTATGCTGCCCAAAGGAAGTTAATAGCTTTTCTTCCGTTGAATGGCAATACATAGAAAGAAGAAGTAGTTAGTGATTCCTTTAAACAATGAGATCAGCTCTGTTATTACTAGACTTGAACAGCATCTTTTCCAAAGACCAGTCTGAGAGTTCATATCATTATTCCCAATAGAACACTTGAGAACTGAGGTTACTTATCCACTGGGGAGAGAACTGAAGACAAAATTTCTGCATTTCAGTGTCTTTCTGAGCTGGACACCATTTTTTTTTCTACTTCATTTGCATTTCCTCTTAGAAAGTAATATTAACAGCATCAAAGTAGGCTGTACTGTTCAGGCATTAGCACAAGACCCATAGGAAACACCCTTGAGGACGTGGCCATTCGCTCTTTATAGCCTATGAGAGAAAGGAACCCCTTAAAAATAAATCACTTGAAGCAGAGTGAAAAGTGTGTGTATGTGTGTGTGTGTGTGTGTGTGTAGCTTTACTTCATAAGGAACAAAAATTAATTCATAAAAATTCAGATGGTTTTCAAATCATCTATTATCCAAGTTACTTAGTTTCTTGATTATGTTTGTAAATTTACTTGGATTACTTCCTTGATTGTATCTTACAAATTTTTTTCAATAATTGAGACGTTGTAAAGGTTTGGGTAGACATTGTTCTGATCTGACTTGTTCTGCCCTCTGGGTTAGTGCACATGTTCCATTGTTCTTATTCTTTGTATTCTAATTGCCTGATCATCTGGGAAGGGGATGCGGGCAAAATGAGAAGATGTGAGGGAGTCCCTGTGCTGGTCCCTCGCATGTTGTCTCATTTACCCTCTCCACAGCCCTGTGAAGTGGATAGTCTCAGTTTTGCAAAGGAGAAAACTAAAGTGGGTGCATGCCCCATGGAAGCTCAGCTGGCCGTCAGTGGCCAAAGCAGGATTGAAGCCCTGTTCTGCATGGGTCTCACCCCCTATTCATTCCACTTCCCTGTGGTGTGTGTCTGGGGGTAGCAGGCATGTCCTGTTTTCCCAAGGGGCTGGTGGTTAGGTGGTCCCCCCTCACATTGTCCCCCTTCAAACACTACACAGGATCTAGATATCAAACTTCAAAGTGGACAGAATGTATTTTCCCCTCAATGTTTAAAATAGAAATCTTAAGAATTTGTAGCTTGAGGGTTAGATTATGTCCCGATATCTCATCTTAATTTTCCGTCTACTTTGTTACTATCTTCAGACTAGTCAGTTATCTTTTTATAACCATCAAAGAAAAGCATTTCCTGTTATGTTTATTGCATTTTTGCACCAAATGATGAAAAGTAAATACACTAAAAATGTTCAGAACAAATTATTTTTGTCAGTGATTTTCTAAATAATATTGGGTAGCAAAAAAAGAAATCTGGTGATAATAGTATTAATCTTTGATAAGAGTATTAATCATGGTTTTAGTATGATTCATCTTTGTATAATTAATACTTTTCTATAAATTTCAGTGTGGATTTAAAATCCAATGGTTTACTACTAGTTATTCAGTCTAAAAATATTCAATAATAAAATATATTTTCCTCTGTGGTTTATAAAATCTACTCTCACTTCCTCTTTTTCCAGCCCTTTTGGAAAGTGAATAAATAATGGCTTTTTATTGCTCAGCCATGAACAACATCATTATTACTCTTTTTCTATGAATCCAGTACAACTTGACAAATACGATGTTATTTCCTTAGAGATAGGTAATGAATTTGAACGCAAGTCAGATATACCAAGAGATTGATCATATGAATGTCCTTAGTAAAGACTAATTATTCTAAGTATAAACTTTAATGAATTTTTTTTCTTAAAGATATTTTGATGTGATTTGACTGAGAATAAAAATAAAAGTAATAGGCTTTCAAGATGCCTCTGCTACTTGTAACGTCAGAAGGCAGTTGTGAATGTCATGTCTAACTCTCTGCTGTTTGCCATCCCTTAATACAGGAAGTATTGAACAGACAGTGGTCATTGAGTAGGAACTTGCTGAACGAGTGATCTTCTCAGGAGTAGCATGTTTATTTCTACCTACTGAAGACTCTGCGTTAGGATTTTATTTCTTATTTAGGCTGTTTGTTCTTTGAGGAGTGACATTTAAAAGAAGAGAAATAGGCCTTGAAAATTCCAAACTATATTATTCTTTTTAAAATTTTGCCTCTGCAAAGCCAAAGATTTAAATGAGTCAGTGCCTAGTGCTTTATAGAAAAATGCCCTCTTCTGGATGGTTGTGGAATACTCCTCAACCCCCAGTCCGAGGTGTTGGTAAAGTGCTGTCATCTGCAGCCCCCAGGCAGAGAACATCTTCTGATGAAGGAGACATCGGCCTGTGGTCGCCTTTGCGCACAAGATGTTATTTTGGGGGTTGAAAGCCTCTTTGACTCCTGGAGAATAAGCATGGTTACCTTTTGCACACACTTGAGTCCTTTAGGAAGGACAGAGACAAGTCACGGGGGATGACTGTCACTGCCCACACCTGGCAGCTGTGTGGCCACCACCAAGCCCATCACTTCACATACACAGCTGTATACCTCAGGGTTTGACATGTTCCTTTCCTAGTTCCTTTCCTTGAATAAGAATTCAGTTATTGTCCCAGCCACATGACCGGTTCTTTTGTACATTACGCATCGGTTTCATCCCTACTAGGGTGACTGTACCGTCCAGTTTGCCTAGGACAGCCTCAGTTTATGCTTGTTGTCCAGGTGTAATTACTGATAGCGTCTCTTTCCACTTTTCACTTCTCACCCAGTTTAGATGACACATCAGCACATATTAAACCCTACCCTTAAGAGTTACTTTTGATCAACTACTATCTGCTTTTATGTTTGAGTTGCAACATGATATTTACATAATTCTTCCTTTTCCGTTTCCTCCTCCCACTGCTACAAATACTCTCAGTTTCTTAGGCCTTACCCTTTAATTTTACCCGTATTACCCTGCTTTGCTCTAAGCCCTGAGAATACTTCCTAGCAACAGTACTTGGTGGAACTATTAAGGGACTTTGTGAAGCTCTAACAATCATATTCTTACTGAGCACTTGGAAATTCGGGACTGTCACTTAGTAAAATATTCTGCAAAAACTAAGTTGTAAGCAGTGATGACAGAATGAGGTAGTCTGATTATTTTAAGTGAGTTTATGGAAAAGTAAGGTAATGATTGTTTTAAGTGTTCTTCTATAATAGTTAAAGCACAGTGTATAATGTCCAGACTCTATTTTGTAGTGTCTCTCTCTCCCCCCTTATCTATCATCTATCTGTCTGTCTGTCTATCTATCTATCCATCTATCTATCATCTATCTATCTTATCTACTTTAAGCAGGGACAAACTTCTGCAAAAATAAAACAGCAGTGTTGGTTTTCAACATCTGTGCTGCCCAAAGTGGGTTCTGATGATTATAATACATCCTGCTTCGAGGTCACATGAATTTCAACAGAGCACCCTTTGCCAGAATGCCTTAACCTGTATGGAATGGGGCCACTGGAGGAAAATCAACGAACTCAGAAGTCAGGTGTACAAAGGATAAAGGGCACTTTAGTGATCTTGCAGTCACACCACGGGCTAAAGTAGCGTTTTGTCTCACCCGCTGAGGAGATTGTCCCTAACCCTCACTATTACACAGCAGCTCCCAAACTGCACTTAATTTGATGGTTTTATTGAGCACATTTATGTTGAGTGTTGTTTTTTTTAAAATCACTGGCCCTGAGGCATATCTTCTTCAAGTCCCAGTTTCCTGTTAGTGAGCAAGTTTTCAGTGCTGTAGATACTTTGTTCACACTTTTTCGTAGATTCGAGTGCTGATAATATTATTCATGGTATATTCCTAAAAGCAAAGAGGAATCTATTACAGTTGGCAAATGACAAGTTGAACTTGCTCTGTTCCTCTTTCCCCAGACCCTCTATTCAGGATGCAAAACAATTGAGTAACTTGAAAGGCATGCCTCAAATTAGAACATGTAAAAAAAATTGAATTTAGAGAAAACTCACCACTACCATTTTGCCATCTACAATTCGTCTTTTGATTGTGGTCTCTTTGTCAAGCCATTTTTGGACATGAATCATTGAGCCACCATCTAATTTTATGATGCTCTGTAAAAGCAGAAAGGATTCCGTTAGAAATAGCACTTTACTACATTCTAATCTAGACAAGACTAGACATCTACTTTTTCATCTCAGTTTTGAAATTCTTTGCTCCAAAATTCTCACATCAGTTTTGGTCATAATTTAATGCCATCAGACTTGGAAAGTTTCAAGAGATTATTCACTTAATGCTTTTCTCCCCCAGGTAAGCAATACCTAAACTATTTGTGAATAATCCTTCTGCATGCTCTTTTATACAATGACAAAGAGAGATCAGAAAAACAATGCAAATATGTAGAATTTTTTAGCCCTGAATCATTTGCCAAAGAACTGACTTTAGAGATGTGCAATGTTAATTAATAAAACAAGCCCAAACTGACTGGATAAATAATCAAATTGGAATAAACCATGCCTAACCATCTTCTAGCTTTTACCTGATTGTGGACCAGGAGGAGTCTTACCTTCACTTTGCGGTTGTCTGCTGTGGTTTCATCAAATTCTTCCCCCAGCTTGAAGGAGATCTCAAAGTTCTTGAAAGAACTTTCTGTCTTGATGTTAACCTTCTCCTTGTCAGCACTAATAGTGATTCTCGGCTTTGCTAACCCTGCAAGGTTCTGGTCTGTAACACTCATTCCTATAAGGCAGAGAAAACAAGGTTATCTTCTTAAGAAGTTTAGGAAGAAGTGCTAGTAATCACTTTTGGAAAGCAACTTTAAAAGAACGCACACTTCCCAGGATGAAGTTTTGAATAATATGTCATAAATGTCTTCAGTGATCTCTGTGCTGGCTGGATGAAGACAGACCACCCTAATCAGAAGATATGTCTAGTAATTACACTATTATACTTGACATTTTGAAAAGCTAAATTCACTTTTTGAGACTAGTGTGCCTCACCTAAAGTCTTTGAGACTCTTGGACTCTGTCTAAAATGTCTATTTGTAGGGTGACTTCTAGGTGATCGGACACTCATGCTTTATGTCATGAAGTGTTGCAGCAACAGTGCAGGGGTGTTATTATCCTCATTTTAGAGATGAGTACACTGAGTCTCAGAGGGGTAGAGAGGCTTATTCTAGGTGATGTGTCTGGTAATTAGCAGAGCTGAAATTTAAATACAGGTTTACTAACTCTCCAAGAATTTTAGCACACTTTTTTCTTAAAGAAAAACTAAGAAAAAGACACAAATGAACTTATTTACAAAATAGAAACAGACTCACAGTCATAGAAAACAAACGTATGGTTACCAGTGGGGGAAGGGGTTGGGAAGGGATACGTTGGGAGTTCCAAGATTTGCAGATACTAACTACCATATATAAAACAACAAGTTTCTACTGTATAGTACAGGGAACTATATTCAATATCTTCTAGTCACCTACAATGAAAAAGAATATGAAAAGAAATACATGTATATATATATGACTGAAATATTATGCTGTACACAAGAAATTGACACAACTTTGCAAACTAACTATATTTTGATAAAAAAGAAAAAAAACCCAAGAAATGAAATTTTCAGAGTCTCTAATCTACTCTGAAAGAGTATGATTTATAAAGTCCAAGCTTCTCTCTTGTTAGCAGATAAAATTCAGGTCTGGCCAAGTAAAGGGGAGGTATGCAGGCTGGACCATCTGGCTGAGAGCCTAGCCCTACTGTTCAGGTTGGGGATTGTCCATTGTTGAACTTGGCTCCTGCTATAGGTGGGCAGAAGAGCTGACTCCCCCCTCTCTCAGTGTCCGCGTAGAACTCGAGCTCACATGCAGATCATCGACTGATGGGACGCCTCTGATGACAGAGAAGCAGTGTTAGGTGTGGATCACGGAAGAGTGAGGAGCTGGGTGGTTAAAGCGTGGGCTCCAGCTTTGCCACTTGTTAGCCTGGCCACGTTATCTCCCTTCTGTAACCAAGAGCTTTCTCAGTGGTCCAGGCAGATATCTGTAGTTCTTACCTCATAGTTGTTAGGAGGTTAAATGATGGTTCTTGGCATGCAATCAACACCTAGTAGGTGCTCAGCTGTTACTCCCTCTTGCACTTTGCTTAAGTCCAGTCCCCAGTCAAAACATGGCAACTTTTAGCATAAGCCTCAGGTTTCTCAGATGCCCCCAAATTTATTTAATTATTTATTATTGAAAAAAGAATTTTAAACTCAAAACAGACGAGTCTATGAATCCAGGAAGAGATAGGGAAACATAGTTTTATTACTTCCTGAGAGAGTTCATACTAAAGAAAAAGTAACAAATATTACATTATGAGCACATTGACTTCTCATTATGTATTGATCATTTCAACCAAGTTTTTTTTTAAAAAGTAAGATTAAAAAAATCCTTGACTTTATATCTATATATAAAATGAAATATTTACAATTAAATATGTAAATATAATATTTATATAATTATTTGAATATTAAATAATTACTGTTTTTCTATCATTAGCAAAGAATAGTTGTTATTATAGATCTGAGCCACTATAAATGATGTTTATTGAGCTTGAGTAAGAATGAAAGTATGAACACAGTTTATACTTCTAAGAAATACCCAATGGTGAAAAATTTCATGAGAAAAATGTTCCATTGCTCCAATAAAGCCTTTAAAATTTTGCAGAATAGTGTTTTAAGGTATCTCCCATGTGCACCAGAACTCTAAAAATTAACCAGCCAGAAATTTTGTTTGTTGCTATTGCTCTTTTGAAGTTATAACTTAAAGCAAACCTTGAAACAAATTTAGCTGATAAATTTAATTATAGATAGGTATTACTGCCCATAAATGTGAAGCTGGGAAAAGCTATGTAATGAAATGACCAAGCTAAAAAGAATCTCTATCGTGAGGGTAGGATGAAGTATTTTCAAAAAGAATAAATGGGTTTAAATATATGGATTAAAAACTAGAAGGAAATAACTGTGAGCTTAGTATTCCAAAAAGAGATCATTATTGCTAGTAAGAAAAAAAGCGAAAGTAGATGCATAAGCTTTGTTAACATCATAAGCATATACTCTAGGATCACAAACGAAAGAGACAGTTATAGGAACATTCACTGCAAGTGCAAACCCAAGCACATCACAAAATGCATTGCCAATTTCCAAATCTTGTGGTGGCATTTCTCACCCAGTTGTTTCAGGTATTCCTCAAAGTTTTCACTGGAGACCAGCTTCCAGGTTCCCAAGAAGTGCTCAATCATGATGGAAAGCTTGTTGAGAAGAGGCACTCACAACCAAAAGCCAAAGAAAGTTAGGCAAGACACTGCTACCAGTATCTTCATTTAAAAGTCATCTTCATCACGTGACTCTTCTGAAATGGCCAATGGGCAGCAGCAAGACCAAAGGTTCTAGGCACCAGCATTGACTCACTTGATTTACCTCCAAATAAATAAACAAAATTAACATATTAAGCTGAATTTAAGTCAATGACTATCGCTTCTAGCAAAGAGATTTACAACCCAAGAGTCACCTGATAAATACTACTTGTGGAATGGAGACAGTTTTCAATAGACAGCAGCATTTTGCACTATGAGTGCTGAGTCAGCGCTGAAGGAATATCCCAACAAATGTCTAATGAACACCTGACTGAGGTGCCTTCCCATCTGATCCAAGGACATCCTTGCTTGGTCTACCTCAGCTGTTTTTCATTTGGACAAGTCACAGTGCCAGAGTACCCTCTTCATTAAAATAATATCTTCCCCTCCCTTCCTTGCAGGGTTGATGAGCTGTTATTAGTTAATGTAACTGAAATGCCTACAGTTGGTTGGAGTGAGGTATAGGGTATTATTAATATTATCAGTGTTGCTCATCAAGAGCAATTGTGGACTGGGAAGAAAAGTAACAATTATCATTGATGGTGTTTTGTGATATTTAGAACTACTGCATCCATTGTGTTACCAACTCAAAGATGAGGCCAAAACTGAGAATGACAGAGAAAAGTTGGGGGGGGGGCTGCTCAAGACCACTTTATTTCTGGAATCTTTGTTAGAATTAATAAATTCCATTATTATTTAAATAACTTTGTGCCCAGATTTTTGTTACAGCTTAAGCCTTCATGGTTGACATGCCTTTGTAGATAGCACCACCTCAATTAATTTGGACTCAAAACAACCAACTCCAGGTATCATGCGGTGCTGGCCTTACGCACAGCATCTCCCAGCTTTCCAGATCCAACTCAAACAGCTCCTCCTTGGGGAGACTGGTTCAGAGCTGGCTGATCCCTATTATGGGATACAATTACACTTTAATAGGAATATTTTAGAAGCCTTTTCTCATGCTATTGCGACGAGTTATCCTCCAGCTGTCCCCTGAGCCACTTTATGAGTGCATTAAACAAAGACAATATAACTTACTCACTTCTGTATCTCTGAGGTAGTGCCTGGCATATTGTAGGTGCTCAATACATGTTTTGTGAATCAATGACAAAAGGAATAAACAGGGTTTATTTCATCTGAACTGATGGCTTTCCTCATCACTCATCTCAATCTCTCTAATGGCAACTAAAGATAAGGTTTTAATACATTGTTCTCTCCTGACCTGCTCATAGGACAGCTCTCTCCCTGTGGTTATGAGATGGTGGGGGGGCTCTCAGGCTCCCTTCACCTTTGCTCAGTGTCTCATTGCTACCATACAAATCTCCCTTCTGCTTTGAGAAAGTTCTCCCCAGTCCTGCCACTACCATCACTAGCCTTTGGCTCCTTCGATTATTTTT